GTGGCGGTGCAATGAAGTGCAGCTGTAACCATGTATGACGCTGAATGCTGTATGACATTTGAATATATTCAAGTTCAATTTTGAGAAAAAATCTTAGGAGGGGAAACCAGGAAGTAGCATTTGTATTTAGAAGCAATAACAATACTGAATGGCAAAGGTTTTCCCTATGTGCCTCCACACCTGTACTGAGAGTACCTAAGAGTTTCACTGTGCGATGCCTTATGCAAGCTTCTCATCAGTTTACCACTTAAATTACTTACTGATAACACTACTCATGGTGCCCTCTATTCTACTGTGCTATGCAGAAAAAAAACAACGAACTGATTGCATCCTGGGTAATATGTTAATTACAGTGCCTGGCTAATCGTCAATATGTTTAATATATTCTAGGTTGGAGTCAATTTTAAAAATAACTTATGCATTTGTTTCCATGGCAGCCAGCCAACATATCTTTTGATGTAGGTTATTCTATAAACACAATTCACACATATAAACAGAAAAACTATTGAGTTTTATCGCAATCAAGCCTTGTTATTTACTGTTTGTGGTCTTTAAAAGTCTATGTAGGTTGTAGATATGCCCCTAAACACTACAAATATTTCATCGTAAGTCAGCTGTAGGTAGACCTTTGTGATTTTAATCCTCAATAAATTGAGTCTTTATGTAGATTTTATGAAAGATTATTCAGAAAAGACAAATGAGCAAAAGGATGAGGTGCTAAAACTAAATAATCAGCCCCATTGTCAATCAAAGTCATAAGAGTGTTTAACCATAGACTGCAAGTAATTAATAAAGGCCCAATTCATTCTCTTCAAGCGATTGTTTATTGGAGGCATACCTATGCTAATGAGTGTTGTTAATCACTTGCACACCGTTGGTTTATGGACCCCTTTGTAGTTTATTTACAAACTGATAACACTAATTCTCAAAAGCACCAATGTGCGTTATAAGCTACATTCTCACACGTCTAAAAAATGCTGGTGTTAACATTGTTTTTTTGTTGTGCAAATATTAGATAATCTACTAAATTGTCTGCTCGCGTTCTCATTTAGTAAAACGCCGATGTTTGAGGATTGAATTCTGGCCTTCCACCTAATATTTTTATGTTGTTCATCCCAAAATGGCATAGTTTTCGGATCTCTACCACTTCTGTTGTTGTGCTCAGGCACTTCTCTGTACTTTATACGTAAAGTATTGATCTTCTGTTGTCATTGTAATGACGTCCTGTCCAACCCCTTTTCAGTCGCTTTCTCTGCAATCACAGCATATACTCTAGCATCCCTAGACGTTCTGTCCATCATTCTTTGAATATTTGGTTCTCTCCATACAGATATCAGTAATCTCGTTTCTTCGTCTGACCAGTTAGACATGCGACCTGTAATCTCTGACGCCATCCTGTGTAATGACAAGCATAAATAAGTCGGCAATAGAGGGCGTTTGGTCGTCGTATTGTGTTCACACGGCACATTGTGTTGTGCAAGAGCCGGTGTGGTTACGTTTAGGATCTGGTCCACCCCTTTTACGACTGTGTCAAAAACGCCGACGCCACAACTGCGTATTCTGTTCACACGCATTTTAACAACGTTCTCAAATAAAAGGCATCGTGACAACGGCTTATTTCGTCCAGTGAGAACACCACTTTAGTCACGAACATTCTGTATGGGGTTAATAGGGACAATTTCTTTGAGACAATGCACCACATGGTGATATTTGCTTTCTAGTGTAAAACATGGCTAGAAACTGACATATCGAAAGGCTATGTGGATTCATGTATAATCCCTAAAGAGTGATATCAGCAGATCAGGGTGACTATATAGTTTATTTTACTAAGAATAAGTGAAAGTTTCCTATAACTTAGGATATAATTATACACAATTAAAATTACAAAATTTAGAAGTGGTTGTTACTAATTTCTAAAGTGAAAACCTATTTCCTGGCTAAAGACAGTCTAACACAACTTAATAACGAGATGTCTTTATTTGTCTCGCTATACACTGGTGAATTTAAACACAAAAACAGGAAATTGTACTCATGATATCCCGCGTACAATGGAGTATACAATAATAAATTGTAACATGATATGGCAACAATAAATGCGAACAATATGAGATGTGAATATTTTGATGAGTGTTAAAATACTTTCATTTTGGTCTTGTACATGATTCTACGGGGTGGTGTATATCATCTCATACAAGTGAATGTGGGAACGTTATTTCCGGCATTTATTTGTCATTTTCATAAAGATAGCTACTAATATGCCAGTTTGAACGAATTCTTATTGAGCCACATATAACAAATTTGTTGTCATCGTCAATTCTGGGTATATGATCATGGACATACTGGTACTATTGCGATCAAGTCCCAAATCAAAGTCTCATTTCTGTTCCATTTACTGCCATATGCTGCAATACTTTCTGAATACACTCTGTCACCACATACACACATTTGCAACATGACAGTGTATAACACTCAACACGATATTTTGTATCAAACACCTCGGGGTGTTTATGACTTGTACTCATTGCTATGTTTCAAATTTGGCGTTCTTCATCGTCTTCATTGAAACCGCTATGTGATAATGAGCAATGCGTTTGGAATCGTGTAAATGTTTCAAATTTGGCGTTCTTCATCGTCTTCATTGAAACCGCTATGTGATAATGAGCAATGCGTTGGGAATCGTGTAAATGTTTCAAATTTGACGTTCTTCATCGTCTTCATTGAAACCGCTATGTGATAATGAGCAATGCGTTTGGAATTGTGTAAATGTTTCAAATTTGACGTTCTTCATCGTCTTCATTGAAACCGCTATGTGATAATGAGCAATGCGTTGGGAATCATGTAA